AGCATCGTTGTTGAAGTGAGTCGATTTATCTTAGATATAACTTATTATACTAGTACACCGAACCATTTTTGGGGTGGACTTTGGACTCCGAGCGTGTTGGGACTGACGGCAGCCGCGGCAAGGCATTGCCGTGTTGAAGGCGAGGCGTATGGATGGCGCAAGCCGGGACGAGGTGGTTCCGAAGCCTGGCGTCGTGGCGCAGGGCGTTCATGTTGAGTGTCGTTGTGGAGGTCGCAGCATGACAAGGAACGGTGCATGATCCATCCCTTACCGAACGAGCATTTTGCAACGACTAGAGAGCTTTAGAGCTAGTAGGTTTGCAACCGTCTGCGCGTCGGCGAATGCACCATAAATGTTGCAATCTAAAATTTTATGGACACGGCGCGAGAGAAAAGAGAAGGAAGGAAACAGGTGCAGCCGCTGGGAAACCGGGCACTCGTTGTATGTTTAAGCTGCTACACACCAGCACTGCGCTCTCGTGGCTGGTAGCACGACAAGGGCCTTATCCATAAATTAGACTTCAAATTTGTATTAACCAAGTAATTGCAACCCGACAAACTCTAGACCTACCCCTCTGAGCCTTTTTTTACCAATCAGATGGCTAAGAAATGATATAATCAATATGACTGGCGGAGACTTCTGGTTTCTGCACATTCATTGGACGCGACTTCTAATTTCCTGGCGAGAGTCTCAGTGCCTCAGAGCCACACAGAGATGGAAGAGCGCACGCGCAACGTCCGAGCGCGAGTCCGAGCGGATCGACCGGGCCCGAAGACTCGGGTCGTAGCACCGAATGGAGTTCCGGTCTGCATCCTCTGCGGCATCCGCCGGCAGCACACGGTGCACTGCCCGTACGCCCCGCGATCGCCGTCGTCTCGCATCCAAGTCGCACCTCTTTCGGCGGCATCCGCGACGCCTTGACGACGATGCAAACGGCGCGCAAGGGCTTTTCATCCACTGTCAGCTCCCAACCGGCTGCGCTTGATACTGCTGCTGTACAGCGCGCTCAGCGTCTACCAGACCAAGGCTCTGTGGACGTGTGTCTCTGCGATGTGGCTCACATGCAGTCAAGTCAACTCATCGACGTTGAAGTAAACCGCGCGACTACTTGCAACACACAAGTACGTCCCCCGACGACTCGGTGCAAGAAGCGCAAGCGCGATGACAAGAACATGCCCCGGCGTCAAGTCACCCTCAACAACTCGACAAGTTGGCCGCCACGTGCGAAGTCGACCTCTACACGCGGTACCGATTGGACCGAGCGTGCAAGAAGGCATGCGACAGGACGTGTCCTCATCTTGTCGTCGCGAAGGTAGGCAAGCAATCATACCCGCCGTGTGCGAGAAGATGTGGTTGGCGGCAGGATCGAGATGCACAACGCCTGCAAAGCACATTATAAGCTACCATAGTCATATATCGTATTCATCAGTCAATATATAAAGCTTTGCACAATCATCATGCAAGATTCGAGCACAGGTTGGTCGGAACTGATGACTGCGACGCGCTGAGCACGTGAGCAAGAGCCGCGGCGCGCTTCCCGGCTGGACACGTTGCCTGCGTCATGCGTCACACTATTAAGGTTCCACCAATAGAAAGCAGCGATTTATGGCCCATATATGTCCCTCTCGCCCAATCAGATGATGCGACTTCTGTTTGGATGCAACACGTATGGAAGGTTCGCCTGCGCGTCGTGTGGATTCTGATACGTTTGTACTCGGTGTAGCGGGGTAGGGTTGCATATATATAGTCTTCGGGCGAGACTTCGAAGGAGGGGACACCAGAGCCAG